TTCAAAATTTTTTCAATCATTTTTCTGGGCTGTTTGCTGTTGATTTTCAAGATATAATTGACTAAAAGTCTCTAACACACACAATAGCCATGCCACCACATCAACATTATTAGACTGCCTTGAAATTTCTTCTGCCAGATTAATTAGTTTGGCACCTTTAATCTCAGTATCAGGCAAAATCTCTAGACATGAGCAAATTCAGACAAATTTTCTGGCAAAGCATAGCACACATGGTTTGGAAACCAACTAATGGTCTCGACTTGTTAACTTCTGAAACCTCCTGAGCTTTATCTTTGTTGGCTGCATTTCTATCAACGTTTTGAGCCACTCAGGATTTATCTTCTACCTTTAGTAAAACTGTTCAACCACACCCAGAACTACATTAAACTCATCAGTGGACTAATCCAATATTGCATGCTCATACCAATAATTCATCCACTGCTGAAAAACACCACATATGAGTGTATGAGGCATTGGTGAGGGACAACTAAATAAAAGCCATAACATATAGAAATGTAATATAGGTCAACAGGTATCAGAGGAAAAATTTACTTTAACAACTATAGTCCTAAATTAAGACAAACCATTAGTCTAATCCTAGTTCTTTACTGTGTAAAACGGTTTTTCTTTCACCTTATCTTTCTAACTCTTACTGCTGTTACATTATTAAAAGAGAGCTCTACACAAATTGGTCATTGCTATAAAACATTTTGAGTAGTTTCTTTATGGTTCTGAATCTATAACTATAGTGGATTATTATAGCTCAACTTGAACAATACTTCTAAGAGTGCACTCTGGTTTAAAAGTAGTTCTATGCATTTGTCAATGTGCCTGTTTAATCTGTGTTAATAACTTGTAAATTTATTTTTTTGTCTTTTTCCTTTTTATCGGTACTGGGGATCGAACCCACAACTGCCTGCTTGCAAGGCAGGTGCTTATGCCACTGAGCTAAATCCCCAGCCCCAATAACTTGTAAATTTCTGTAGCTGCTACATTTTAAAAAATACTTTTGTTAGAAGACATTGCTGAAGAATAGATATTTACTAGGAACTCCTTGCTACTAGTGATAAAACTATCTACCATAAGAAACTATAAGCATCTACACAGAAAGCAAAATAAACAAATAAAGTAGAAAATAGAAAATGGCAAGACACTGAAGCAAATTGTAACCCCAGACCTCCAGCACATGCAGGGTGACTGCAGAGCACAATTAGATAGAGGAAATTAGAAGCCACACAGTTAAAACAAAAAAACAAATGGATGAGGCTGTAGAAAAAATAATCTCTCAGGTAGGAAAAGATAAAAATTAAAAGCATTAGAGTACACACAGATAATAGAATAACTTAGGAAAATGATGGAAACCATGGATGCTCAACATAAAAGGACATAAAATCCATGAAACAGATCCAAACAGAAATCCAGGAGGTTAAATTGCCATTGAAAATTTAAACAACAGTGGAATCAAGGTGAGGATACAATATCAGATCTAGAAGACAGGATTGTGGGTAGTGACAATAAAAAGAAATATATCCTAAAAATAGCAAGGGAATATAAAATCCAAAAGCTGCAAGATGAAGCAAAAAGAATAAGGTAAGTTTTGTTGGAGTCAGTGAGCAAGCCAGAGATAGACCAGGTGCCATAAAACACTTCTTCAGAGAAATAATGGCAGAAAACTTCACAAATATGGATAAAGAATCTATCACACAAACAATTGAAACATGTAGGACTCAAATAACCTTGACCAGAATATACCAAGGCATATAATAATCAAGATCCCAGGAATTCAGCATAAAAGAAAATTTTTTTGCTTTTTTTTAATTTTAAAGAGATTAAGACAAAACAAGACATAACAAAGCAAATCAGAACAGAAAAATGTAAGTGACAAGTATGTCACCAGAAGACAACACGTAATTAACAGTAACTACCACAATGTCTCTTTCTTTGAAACAGTTTAGTATAACTTCATATAAAATAGTATCAAACATAGCATAATAGTATAAAAACATTCAAGAGAATGAGAGTATTACAGGACATTTATAACCAAATAACACAAAACAAACAATGGCTACTATATTATCTCATTTTCCATAGAAAATTTGTTTATACTTTCACATATAATACAATCCAATAAGTAAAACATCATAGAGCCAATGGAAACAGAAGAACAAGAGTATGGTAAGACTTCAGAGAAAGATGATATTAAATCAGCACTGGTTATTATATTGATTTCTTTCCCTCAAATTAGCTGTTTATAACATGACAGATAATAAAGTAAAAAAAAACCAGGACAAACCCATTACAACTAATGAATGAGATCATTAAAAGGCTTCAAAACAATGTAATGGGGAATTATGATTAATATAAACTCTTATGCACTCTTACTATTTCTTACACTAGGGAGACTATATGGTATTTATATATGTGAGTTTGATTTATTTCACTTATGAGTATGGTCTCAAGTTGCGCCCATTTATTAGTAAATATCTCAATGTGATCATTCTTTATAGCTGAGTAGTACTCCAGTGTATAAAAATACCACAAACTTTTTTATCCATTCTTCAGATGATGGACACTTAGGTTGTTTCCAAGATCTGGTGATTACAAATTATGATGTTATAAACATAGGTGCACATATATCACAGTGATATGATGTTTTCAGTTGTTCTGGGAATATGCCCAGGAGTGGAATAGCTGGGTCGAATGGGACCTCCAATCCCAGCTTTTTGAGGAATCTTCAGACTGACCTCCACAGTGGTTGCACCAGTCTACACTCCCACCAACAGTGCAGGAGAGTTCCTTTTTCCCCACAGCCTCTCCAGCATTTGTTGTTGGTAGTTTTCTTGATCCTGGCCATTCTTTCTGTAGTGAGATGGAATCTCAGTGTGATTTTAATTTTCATTTCTCTAATGACTAACGATGATGAACATTTTTTCATATATTTATTTTCCATTTGTAATTCTTCCTCTGAGAACTGTGTATTCATCTCAGATGCCCATTTTGGATTGGGTCCTTGAATTTCGGGGGTCTGATTTTTTTAAAATTCTTTATATGTTTTAGACAGAAGTCCTTTGTCTGAGGGACAGTTGACTTAAGATTTTTTCCCAGTTTATGGGTTTTCTTTTCACTGTGCTGGAGATTTCTTTTGACGTGCAGAAACTTTTTAATAAGATGTGATCCTAGTTACTGATTCTGGGAACTGTTTCCCATGTGGTTTGATTCCTGTTCGTGAATTCTCTACCTACCTTTATGTCTTCAGGAGTTTTACCTAATTTGTCTTCCAACAGATTTAGTTTTTCTGTTTTAATATTCAGATCTTTGATCCAATTAGATTTTAGTTTAGTACATGGTGATAGGCTTGAGTCTCATCTTAGTTTTCAGCATGTGGAGAGCCAGTTTTTCCAGCACCATTTATTAAAGAGACTGTCATTCTTCCAGTTAACATGTTTGGCTCCTTTATCAAATATAAGGTGGTTGAGTGTGTTTGTAGTTGTGGTTGTATCTTCTAGTCTAGTGCGTTGATCTTCAGATCTGTTTTGCTTCCAGTACCATGTTGATTTTATTACATTACCTTTGTAGTGTAATTTCAAGTCAGGGATTGTGATGCCTCCTGCCTTGCTTTTGCTGCTTAGAATTGCCTTTGCTATTCTAGGTCTCTTCTGGTTCCAGATGAATTTTAGGAATGATTTCTCTAGGTCTATGAGGTGTGTTGATGGTATTTTCATTGGGATTGAATTGAATCTGTATAATAGTTTTGGGAGAATGGCCATTTTCACAATATTTATTCTCCCTGCCCATGAACAAGGGATGTCTTTTCACCACCAAGTGGGATTCATCCCAGGCATTCAGGGATGGGTCAACATACATAAATCAATAAATGTAAGCCACCATATCAATAAAGCCAAAAGTAAGAATCACATGACCATTTCTATAGATGCATAAAAAGCTTTTGATAAGGTCCAACACTCATTTATAATAAGAACTTTACAGAAAATTGGAATAGGTGGTCTTTACCTCAATATGATAAAGGCCATCTATGACAAACCAACAGCAGTGTCATATTAAATGAAGAAAAACTGAAAGCCTTTACCTTAAAATCAGGCACAAGATAAGGATGTCCTTATTACTGCTCCTATTTAATATAGTACTGGAAATACTAGCCAGAATAATTAGACAAGACAGAGAAATAAAAGGGGTAAACATAGGAAAATAGGAAGTTAAGTTATCATTATTGGCAGATGACATGATACTCTACATAGAAGACCCCCAAAACTCCATTCAAATACTCCTAGATATAAGCAATAAATTCAGCAGTGTAGCTGGATACAAAATAAATGCTCAAAAATCAATGGCATTTCTATACACTAACAACAAAATTATGGAGTGAGAAATAAGAAGAGCCACACCCTTCGCACTAGCATCCAAAAAAAAAAAAATGAAATACTTAGGAATTAATCTCATGAAAGAAGTAAAAGATGTATACAGAGAAAACTATAATGCCCTGAAAAAGAAATCAAACATAATCTCAGCATAAAATAATATTAAAATCATTAAAGAAAAGAATTTACCTACAGAAAACATCATCACAATCATAGCAGACTTCTCAATATAAATCCGCAAAGAAAGGAGATTTTGGAGTGAGTATTTCAAATCATAAAAGAAACCGTCAACCAAGCTTAATGTGCCCCACAAAACTGTCTTTCAAAATCAGTGGAGAAATAAGATACTTACATGACAAAGAACAAATGAAGAAATCCATGACCACCAAACCAGCTCTCCAAACTGCTCTGAAGGGTAATTTAGAAAGAAATACTTAAGACTACAATTCCAAGTACACCAATAGAAAGAAGCCATGAGGCAGGGGAAGCAATTAGAAAGCAAGGGAATCAATAACAGGAAGATAATGTGAGAAGGATAAACCAATATATATATCAGTTATAAGTGTCTTAAGGGGTCTCAGTTCAACAAAACAAATGGGCAGAATGGATCGAGAAGCAAGATTCCTGCTCACTTCAGCAGCACATGTACTAAAATTGGAATGGTACAGAGAAGATTAGCATGGCCCCTATGCAAGGGTGACATGAAAATTTGTGAAGCATTCCATATTTAAAAAAATAAGCAGGATTCAACAATATGCTACATACAAGAAACATATTTAACTCAAAATAAATTCATGGACTGCTAGTGAAAGGATAGAAAGCAATATTTCAGGGTAACTATTGTATTTGCAGATAATGTGAACTTCAAGACAAGAATGATGAAAAAAGAGACAAGGACCATAGTACAATAAAAGTGGAAATCAACTGCAATAGGAACTACAAAAAGTACATAAACACATGGAAATTAACACCCTCCTTAACAGCCAGTGAGTAACAGAGGAAATTAAGAAATTAGATATCTACAGTTAAATGGTAACGTTGATACAATATATCAGAACTTACAGGACACAATGAAAGCAGTCCTAAGAGGGAAACAGATTGAACTCAAACAATTTAATGTTTAACCTCAAACTTGTAGAAAAAGAACAAACCAAACCCATAGCTCATACAATGGAAGAAATTTTAAGAGCAGAAATTAATGAAGTTGAGACTAAGAAAGCATTACAAAGAATCAAAGAATGGAAGAGTTGGTTCTTTGAACTATTAAATAAAATTGATAAACCCTTAGCCAACCTTATCATAACATGAAAACAAAGACTCAAATTCATGTAATTAGGAATGACAGGGGTGAGATCACAATGAATTCTGTGAAAATCCAGAAGACCGTCAATGCCTAATTTGACAACCTGTACTGTAATAAAATGGAAAACAAAGAAATGACAGATTCCAAGGCATATGAATTGACAAAACTGAATCAAGGAGATATAAAAATTCTAAATAATCCAATATCAATCAATGAAATTGAAAATGTAATTAAAAACTTACCAACAAACAAAAGGCCAGGGCCTAGGTATTCACTCCTGAGTTCTGCAAGAAATTTAGAAAAGATCTAACACCCCTAATGCTGAAACTCTTTAATGAAACAAATTGAAGCAATGCTCCCCAAATCATTCCTAGAAGCAAATATTATCCTGATACCTAAACCAGAGAAGGACCTAACCAAACAAGAAAATTACAAACTAATCTTAGATACAAAAATCCTCAATAAGATACTGGCAAGTAGAATGTAGCAAATCATCAAGAAAATTATATTCCATGACCAAGTAGGATTCATCCTAGGGATCCCGGGATGGTTTAACATACAGAAATTAATAAATGTAATGCATCATATCAACAGTACCAAAGAAAAATTACATGATCATCTAAGTAGACACAAAAAGTGATTTGACAAAGTCTAACACAGATTCATGATAAAAATCCTATAGAAAACTGAAATAGATGTTCTTTTATCTGATAAAAGCCATCTATGACAAACTGACAGCCAATATCATACTAAATTGGTCAAAACCTGAAAGCTTTCACTATAAAATCAGAAACAAAACAAGGATATCCACTATCACCGCTCCTACTCAATAGAGTTCTAGAAACACTATCCAGAGTAATTAGACAGGGAAAAAATGAATAAGGATAGAAAGAAAGTATGTTACCATTATTTCCATCTCTGTGGATAAAAGAACAACTGCCTGAACCAATTTGTTTAGTTGTCCACAGATGAGAATTCTGCGAGTTTTACCCCAAATTCTTATAGTGACACACACTAGCAAATGCTACTAAATATATTATTGTAATATATTTAAGTGGCTTATATTTCAAAGGTTAATTTCTCTATGTCTAAAGAAGGTTTTTTAAAAAACAAAAGTTCTATATTGCACTTAGTTTCTTGTATTTTCCATTGTTAAACATTTGGTTACTATAATTGAGTTTTATAAGTTAAGTCAAATGTTGGCTTTTAAAATATTTTCAATAATCATTTTATAATTTGTTAAATAAAAATTATTGTCTTAATTTATAACAAAACCTATATATGTAAAAACATGATATGCTAGAAGTCTAAGCTTTATAGTTATGTTTTTAGAACTAGAAATACATAGCTTTAATATATACAAAGTAATAGATATTGTCTTTTATACAATTTACATGCAGTCCTTAGACATATAAAATGACTGAAACTTAATATCTAAGTTTGATTCTGCCACTTAAAACTTGATTAAATATTTTATTATTGTATAAATGAGACACACATGTACAGTGAGTAATAGCCTATTTTTGGCCAACAACACTATTTCTACAAATTGTCTAAAGATAGTACTTAATGCTCATGTATGTAGTTAAAACCTATAGAAGTGTTTAAAAAAACTAAATTCTGTTTTACATGTAAAAACTAAAATACAAAGACTTCTGTGTGTAGCTGTGACAGTAATTTTTGCTTACTTCACAATATATTAAATGTGTTTGTGTATCTGAAGCATATAGACCTTCAAACATGCAAAGACAAAAATAAGTTTATTGTACTAGTGACTTCATCACTAAAGTCATCTGGGGTGGAAAAGCATTTTGTAATTTACATTATATTGTTATAAAAATATGTGATTTGTCATTGCTAACTGACAATCCAGACTTTAAAACCCTCTATGAGTTACTTGCTTATGTCACAGGTCCGTAGATATAATCTTTAGGGTAAAATTTTCAGTAAATGTCCAGCTATTGTGTACAACTTTTTCCTCTTGCCTTTCTAATCTGCTAGTAATAATTAAATCAGCTATGTGCCAAGAACAAGGTCACTCATTCTGTAAATAGACAGTGGATATCTGGATAACTGACAGAAATACCTAAACTAGTCATGAGAGATAGTAAAACAAGCTTCAGCTTAACCTTGGTTTGGGGTGGGGCGCACATGCAGTGTGGCCTCAACGTAAGGCTTGTGGCTTCCACAACCTCACCTTGGGAGACCTAAACAGGATCCCATTTGCCTCCCTTTATTTCTCCCCAAAAGTATATTAAGGAGAGCTTAAAGCTATATAGTATATCTTAACTAATTATTAGTAGCCCAATGCTTATCCCCAGAATGCCACCTTTAGGTTTTACTTTGTAAAATTAGGGCAGATTTAAAGACTTTTAAAAGACTGATTTTTTTCCAGATATAAGATAGGTAAAAAGATAAGGCCTCAAACATGACTTTATAATAAGGAATGATAGTAAACAAATATCCCAATATCTATACCTCTTCTCTGTGATCAGATATTCTTGTTTTAGAATTTTATGTTTCTATTTTTTAATTTTGTCTTTTTGAGACAGGGTCTCCCTATGCAGTTCAGGCTGGCCTTGAGCTCACTTTGTAGCCCAGGCTGGTCTCAAACTTGCAAAGGTCCTCCTGCCTCAGCCTCCTGAGTGCTGGGATTACTGGCGTGAGCCCAGCTCAGAGACTTTTATTTTGAAGGGAGTAAAATACAATAGAACAAAACCAATCAAGACAGTGAAACTGGTATAGAACTTCACAGCAGGGTACCAAGATAACAGTAATAGGTACCATAGTATATCTTGTTATCTTCACAATAGTTGTCCATTTAATCAGGTATAGCAAAATCAAACCAAGAACAGAACATTATAAAACTTATCAAAACAGAATATTGAGTTGAGCAAGACAATTAACAGAACAAAGCAAAACAGTGAAAACAATATTTGCCTTCAAAGAGAAGATAGAATAAAATCTCCTATATTTGCTATATTGCATCAGCTTATCCTCCCAAGAGATACTCAGACCTCTGGCTCCCAATTGCTAATTGGGGGACAGGGAGAATAGGATGTTTGATTCCGGTTGGCTCACAGGAGATGCCGACTGATTCTCTTTCTGGCTCACCTGCTGCTCACGCAAGCCATGGTGGCTTACCAGGAAGCAGCAAAGTGTGTTGCTTTCTTGCTCAGCACCCTAAGTTCCAACATGGCTGGATCTCAGGAGACACTGACTGGTTCTGGTGATCAGATATTCTGTACCGAAATAAAATTTAAATATACTTGTTCAAATTTTAAAACCTCAATTGTTGTAACATAATGTCAACATAATTATAATGCTAAAATGTTATGTTTACTCTTAATTTCACATTTTCCCTGCATGTGAAAGGGAAAGATTATAGTTGTTATTTGACAATATTCTATGAGAGTATGACTTCTAAGGTAATCATGGTTTAAAAAATAGCTGTCTTCTGGATATATATATATATATATATATATATTTCAATTTCAAGGTTCTTGGTATCCAGATAAGATTGTGATAGTGAAACCAACTACTTTCCACTTCAAAACTGGTGTAACTAACTTGTATAGTGTTTAAAAACTGAGGCTGAGAGACCAAAACCAAAGAGATAATTAGGCTTTGAGAATAGTTGATATTTTGTCTATGGCCCTCCAAGGTCTACCAGGACCCATGACAAACACATGAGAAACCCCTCTACAAGATGCTACAACTGAGGACAAGAGTCAACCAAAGTACATTGTGCTAAAAGGAGAGTCATCAGAGAATAAAAATTCTCCCATGCTTCTAAGGGAAGCCATTTGGTCAAGCAAAACTGACTTGCTCTGGTAGACGACACTGGCAGAGGACCTAAGAGGCTCTGTACATGGTCTGAGAAACAAACTCTTAAGAAGCCTAACTAACCTTGGTGTGTAATAAGAGGTTAATTCTAATTGACACAGGTGTAGGTTTAATTAGATCTTAAACCCTCAGTGCAAAAGTATAAGCAACAAGATACATCAAAATTAATAGTGATTTAAGGTAGATATACAAGAGGGAGACATCCAGTTACCACATTGCCCCTTCTAACATTCTCTAGGTAACTCTGTAGCTTGACAGTAATATGATTTAGTGAGGCTGAAAAAGCCGTTACAGCTATAAAATCTCAACAAAAATCTTTTAATTCCTTAGATAAATTGCCCTCAAAAGTAAAGCACCTTCTGTCTTCTTATAGCTAAAGCTAAATAAAATAAACTAAAAATACATGCTTATAAATAAAATTTGTTATCTTTAAATAAATATTTCAGATAAGAATATCTTAAAGAAATCAAACTTATAGTTCCTAAAAGATAATGCATTTGTACCCACCAGTCTAAAATAGTGGGAGATATACCACATAGACATAAAATTCTAAAATCAGATTACCTCTGTTTAAATGTAAGC